ACAATTGCAATTGCCTGGATTACTGAAGCACTGGCAAAAATGCTTTGAAAATACTGGAGTGAGACCAACAGGCACTACTTTTGGCCATCGGCTCCTTCCTCTTGCATGGTGCAAGCTGGAGAGCTGCCTCTAGGAATTTGTGCTGCAAACAGGCTCATCCCCTCCCACTAAATGACCAACAGCTACTAAGGTTAGTGACTTCTGGATGAACTGGAATGTATTTCTTAAAAAGACTTGAAGAGTTCTTGTTTTGAAGAGTTCAAGAAATGGGAGAACTTGCCACGTGGCCTGAGCTGCTTCAATGCTTGGTAATTCCTGGGTTGGGTTGAATTTCTGTGCCTTTGCCTGGTAGATGGGAGATCTGTCACATCTCAGTGCTGTTTCCCCAGCAGAAATGCTTTCTCTAAGTCAGCCCTCACTTGTCTGTTTTGGAAGAGAAGTTGTGTTGGAAAGACCCACTAGACCAGGTCTGGAAGTGCCTCAGTGGAAAACTGTTGTTCAAGCCCAAACTGCCCTCCTTGGTCTTTTCTGCCTCTCCCCATTTTTCAATATGATTTTCAAAGCATGGCTACGCAGGAGAAGCAGGTTTTCTAGCAAATGTCCTGGTTTAAGACTAGCTCCTTGAGATGTGCGTTTCCAACAGCCTTCAAGAAAATGCATTTCATTTTTCTATAGAGGAAAAAATGCCCTGTATTGGGGCAGAAGAGAAGGATGAAAAGATGAAACAATCACCTCGGTCTCTGGAGCAATTAGTCCTGATGATAGGCTGTTCAACAAGGCTGAAGAAAAGTGCTGTAATTTTCATAAATAACTGGACCTAAGCATCAAAAGTGTGCACCCTTCCATTATACAAGGCTGGAAGGTTAAACACGATTCAGGGGCTATCCACAGTTCCCCTGTTGGCTTAATTCCACAGCAGCCCACATTTAAAGTCTTTGTAATAATTTATTAAGGATAAATGACAGAAAAGAAAGACATCTTTAAGATATTGGTCATTTAAACTAAGAATGAAGCTTTTGAAATACCGCATATTCTGTTTTCTGTATCTGACTCTTTTAGACAACCTGAGAAAGGTATCCTCTCTCCTTTGGGATTGGAAACATAGAAGCTAAAGAAGGCTGGAGCTGCCAGTACTAAGAGATCTGCTGCATTTTCTGAGACAAAGCATGAGGAACACACAAAGGAAGGCAGAAAAATGCAGTTTCTTCGCTTTTACCTGCAGCCTCCAGGGCAGAGGCGATGTAAGAGTTTGGCTACAGTTTGTTACTCAGTTGCCCTCGTGGGAGTCAGTCCCCACGTTTGCTTCCTTTTAATCCAAATGTCTTCTATCTAAATTTTCTTGTATGTTTGATACTACTTTTTCAAACTTAGAAAAGTTGATTTTTTTTTTTCAGATTTCTTTCAATAGCACTGCTGGCAGCATGGACCAGGTTCAGTATCTCAGCTCATCCTTCAAAAACATTTGCAAAACGAACTGTTTGGCTCCCTTACTGTCCCACGGCAAGGGATGTCCCTGGTGTGTGGATGGGCAGCACCAGCCAGTCACCAGGCACAGCTGAGTAGCACACGGGGCACCTCTGAGATGTGCTCGCCTATGTCCTGTACCTCAGGGCACTCCTCTCCTGGACAGAAGTTGGGGAGCATCAGTCTATCTGACCGGCAGGATACGAGGGGATGGCCGTGGCCATTCTCCAAGATGGTCCCCGGTCCACAGACTCCAACGTGGGCTTGGGGCAGGGCTCCGTATAAACAACATTATCACCCTCCCTTGTTCCTTTTGCATGGGACAATCAAACAAGGAATCCAAAGCTTGGAAATAAACACCAGGACAGAAAGGAATGTTTACCATTCAATGTATTATTCCCTTGTGTACAAAGTATTTTTCCTCTATAATAGCACACAGGTATTGAAATACGATGGCAAATGCAGAAAGACCATACAGACATGTCTTATGGGTCTTTTAATTTCCTTTTGAGTATAAGCAGAAAGAAAAGAAACACTGTACAGGAAAGTGCTTGCAAATAAAACCTCAGTTTGTAGAAAAATAATGGCATTGATATACAAACCCCGGAATTGTTTCCTGAATAAGAAATATCTAATGTCTCTAGTCCTCAAAGTCTGTTCCTATTTAATGAAGCCCATTAATGAACCACAGGATCAGTGCTCTATCATTTTTTTCCCTTATAGTTTATTTAATATTTTTTTTAGGTTTCTCTTGCTCTGTTAATAGCTGCTATGAAACTATATGGTAGAAATGAATGTGTACAGGTCAAAATAATATTTCTTTTTATAAATAGCCATTCACTTCATTAGAGAAAATATAATAAGCCTGTACTTTCTAAGCACCACTGTTTCTTTCTAAAGTTCATAGTGCAATTTTCCCTTTTCCCCTACAGAAGTTATACATAATCAATTATCATTTAAAAATCACTATTCCACTACTACTCCTTTCCCCTTTCCCTTTCCCTTTTTCCCTTTTCTTATCTTTCACCTTTGAAATGGTATTTTTGGCATTTTTCTCAGAAAGGTAGAAATTATTATTGTTATGCATAGTCATATAATGTAGGTGAAAAATCAGTCTTTCCAAGACATGATCATATCTACTTATGCACTATTAAGCCAAAACCCCCAAATTACGGGTAAGCATCTCATTTTTTCCTCAAAGTCTGAATATTAACAAGAGCAGCAGAGGCACACACAGAATAAGTGTAGAGCACCAGTTCTTTAGCTGCTGGAGTGTAACACAGCCCTGCTCGCCTGCGAGACGTCTCCCGGCTGATGTGAATGCGTCGATCCCCGACCGTCAGGCCGACGGGTTGCACTCTGAAGGCTGAACCCAGCCCGGAGCATGCATGGGTTATGAATCCGGGGATCGGATCGTTTAGCGCTATTGATCCGACTGTTTTGTAACAGACTGATCACACATCCCTGGGGGAGCTCAGCAAAAGACTCGCACGAGATCCTGAGGTTGCGTTTGTTAAGCAGTTGCAGCCAAAACTGAAAGACTTATCTGAAGTAGCAGACAAGCCTCTTTGGTTTTCCAAACTGCTGGCAATTTTGTGCTGAAAAGCTTCCTTTCCTTGTACTTTTGTGCTCCTGGCTGCCCCAACATATAAGGTGAAGGGGCAGCATCTTCCTATCGCTAAGTAAAATTGTAGAGAAAGAGATAAGGGACATAGTCATAGACTACAAAAATAATCTGGTCACATCACCCCCGTTCAACGTGCTACGAAGCTCTGCAAAAACGTGGCGTGGCACAAGCGGTGGGCTATGTACAGGTGGGAGCCATCGCACAGCCGCGTTCGGCGCCTATGGGAGATGTCTCCTCGATTTATATAAAAAAAAAGCCAACGCTAAAGGTCTGGTTGTACATGGGACGGCGGATCGGCAAGGAGCGCAGATGCCTTACCAGGAAGATCCAAAGCAACACAGAAGTAGGCGTAAAAGCAGCTTGTTTTCGAAGGGGGGGAGCAGAGCGATCTGTAAGTACAGAGTGATCTTGTTGAAACCAGGCAGAGCCGGCGCCGAAGCCTCCCTTTGCAGATGGTCTGTGAGTGAGTAGGAAGCCGGGGAAATGCTGCAGGTGCCTGCAATGGAGTCCCCCGGCCAAGAAGAACGGACGGCTTGGCTGGGCGTGCTGTCCCCCCATCCCCTGCCGCAGACCCTGAGGTCCTCACCGGCCCCCCCGGGGGAGGTAGCTCGGCAGGGATGCTTTCGGCTTCACGTTGGGATTTTGTAACAACGTCCATAAGAAACCGCAGCGCTTCTCAGCGCGCAGCCCAGGGAAACATATGGCCTGATCAGCCTGTCTGGGATGAGTTAATACCCCGCTTCCAGCTGGAGCCAGGAAGCACAGTGGCACATGCATTCAGGAGACAAGGATATGTTTTTTTAAACAGCAAGTTCACTTCAGAGCCCTACGGAAAGGTGCTCGAGCTGAAGACCTATTGGCAGGAATTTTTCCTGAACCTGCGCTAGACCTTCATTTGAATCGCCTGACAATTTTTCTGCTTTCTTCCCTTTTTCACTGATAAAGGCACTGGATTAACTAAAACTACAGAGCATTAATAAATATCATGTTAGCACCAAACCAGTGCTTTTAGCACTGGCCACAGAGGTCATGTGAAATTTAAAACATACCTAAAAGATAAAGATTGCTAATGCAACTAGCACTGTATTCATTGTCATGTTTTCCTTGAGTGCTGTCGGCCTAATCCCTAAAAATAAAATTTAAGCACATCTTGTCTATTTTCCTTACATAAAGACAGATTGAAATGCCAAAAATACCCCTATGCAGATTGTGTAGCACCGTAGAGGGCCAAAGCAGCCTGTAACTGAAGGAAAATTACTGATTGAAAGTAAACAACTGAATACAGTGACAATAAAGTATCACTTGTCATAATGCTACATATAATGTAGAGTACGCAAAATGCAGTGGTTTGACTGCAGGATTTAACAATAAAAAATAAAAATAGTAAAAGCAGCCTTAATATAATGATTTTACGTACAAAAATATTAAATCAAAATAAATAATTCCAAACATAAATATTATACTGTACATTAAGAATATGCGATCTATATACACACATAAACAGATAAAAAAGTGGAAGGCAGAGGTATTGCATCACTATCCTTCATCCGTCTCATCTCCGCTGGCTGCTCTCAGAGAACCTGGAAAATACAGACAAGGTGCACATTAGAGGCAACTCATCATCTTCGCCTCTGAAACCTGTAACTAGAGAGATCGGCACAGGAGCAGAGCCAAGGTGAGCGCCAGCGAGGTGGGAAGTGCATTTCCAGTTGACAGTGTTATACTCGTAAGGGTTACTGGGGGAAGCGAGGACTGGGAGCACAGGATCCCATCGCTCCCTGGATGCTGCATGGGGTGGGGGGCTGTCACCGATGCACGAGTGCTTTTGCAAGTGTGGCCTGATCTGCTCCTTCAGGATGTTTTTGGGAAGATTTCCCTTCGTGCAGAAGCAGCTGGGAACTCACCATCGCTATAACACCTGAACATCGAGGCCTGTTCCAGATGATGGAGTACACTTCCCACAGTAACCGCCACATTTTCCTACTACTTTGGTACCATCCTGCAGGCAAAATCAGAAATAACACCTCATGTAAGGGCTCAGGAATTCCATGCTGCAGAATGGCCAGATCTGGGTTATTCTAGCCAGGGTTTTTAATTGAAAATGTCTTGGAAGGAAAACAAATTATGCCTAAATCAATCTAAGAAATCGCTGTTAGATTTAAACATATGCAAATGTAATTCTCTTTAGTGCTACCAGGTCAGATGGTGAACGCAAATAAGAAAGGGTAGTTTTGATTTACTACAATGAAAGATGCCCAAGGAGAAGGCGATTTGGAGGGATATCTCAAGGGTATCCTGCTTTCTTCATCTTGCCCCACAGTGAATAACTGTAATGAGTGGAAAACTTGGCTCACACAAGAGCAAAACCACATCGAGACAACAACAGCTCCTCAGCTGTGCCTGAGCACGTGAAGGGCACAGGAAGGATACTTGCAGGTAATACCAAGACACATCCATTTGGAAGGGAAAGGCCTGGAGCGGCTCCAGCTCCAAGACGAGAGGGAAAGTGATGGGGTGAGGCTATGGCACTTGCTAAGGTGCTGCCCCTCCTCAGCTCTGCATTTTCACAGCCAGAAGAGACAACGGAAGACGTGGAGCAGTGCTGGGGTTGGCCTGATCTCCAGGAGAGCCCACCAAGCGTGGTGTAACTCTGATCTTGAGTCAGGAGATTAATACCTCCATCTGGCCTTCCTTATCCCACCTCTGTGGTCTTTCTTCTCTTGGTCATTACAACATTCAGACAGTCCTTCAGGGGAATTCAATGCTCAATTACCAGAACATTGGACTTAAGCACAGGACAAGCTTGCACAAAGCATTTATTTTTAAATGAGCTCCATCCTTCCCTTGACACTATCGATCTGTGATTGCCGCAGGCTGCTATCATCTCTTCTCACCATGCCTTCCTTTCTTCTGCTCCTCTGGGCAATTATGCCCTTGGAACAGCGCTTGACAGATGCCACTAGTAGTGGAGGCAAGAGTTGTCTCTTAGACACCCTGTCCCTTAAAATTGGTTTTAAATTCTGCCAGCCGTGATGGTGTTTGCTCTCCGCAACCCCAAAGTCAGCTGCCTGAGCTTCTCCTTTCTGAAGGGGAGAAGATACGCAAAGCACCTGCCAGCACTAACACATGGGGTCTTTGCTGGTCCGTTTCTACCTGCACTGGAGGATGCTTTACTGCAGCATGGTCAGACCAGTAGCATCCAATTTAAGAGCACCAGCACTGACAAGGCTCATGGGCTCAAAGGGCTCCCCAGAGCCAGGGAGACCGAAAGCAGTACAGGAGAGGATATTTTGCAAATTGCTTTTTGTTAAATGATTACAGTGACCTCCTTCGGAGAGTTTTAACAGGGGCAATCAGGATGACTCACATGAAGTAACAGCCAAAAAAGCAATCCTGGGTTTCTCTGATTTCAGAACGCGACACAGAAGCCACGGTGTGAAGGCACACAGTGATGGAGGTGCTAAAGGGCTGGCAAATTGAGCTGTACAAGTTCGAATTTGGCTGTGGAGTGATTTTGAAGGCCCGCCTGGCCTACCTGGAGGCCTCAGGTCAGCAGAGCCACAGGTGGCTGCAGGGGACGGTGCCCTGGGGTGCAGCGGGGCAGCCCCAGCCCACTGGAGCTCGGGTGACTCGGGTCCCACCCAAGGAGATAAACCCAGACCAGCCTGGCGGGGAGGTCCACGTCCTCCACACTTTGTTTTGGGAACAATTCCTGCTCAGGGCACTCGCCTGGCACCTGGACCCTCTCCGGCAGGTCAAGGACCATTCTGCAGCCCCGACGCTGCACACGCCACCCCTGCCTGCGACGTGATGCATGCTCTGTGCCGGACATCTCACACAACTAATTAAGGGTATGTCTGCCCCACAGGACTCAGCATTTTCAGCTTCATGATTAAGCAGGCTCGTTAATTAATTGCAATGACTCAGATCAAATTAAATCCACTAGCCCCTCCCCCTACAATTATGGGCAACACTTTAATGTCAGATATTAGTTTTTTGTTAGCCTCTACTTGTAAGATGCTGCCATGAAAGACAATGCAACACTTAAAAACTTCTCATGAGCAGATACAACCATAACTAAAATTATAACTTACTGGGGATTTTTGAATTTCCGACACTGCGTAATTCCCTTGCGAGAGCCACTTTGCGGTTCCCATTAAGGACAGGCCTGTCCCATAAAGGTCTATGCTGAAGCGACCCTGAAAAACAAGCAGACGAGCCTGGTTATCCCGAAACACCGTGCTTTGGCCTCCCATGGCTTGCCATGGTGCCGCTTTTCTAACAGGATCTTGCCAGCAATGTTTTCAATTTTTTTCCATCGCTCTGATAGTGATTAGCACATATTGTACAAATCGCAGCATGTCTGGGGTTAGGAATTTCCTTCTCGTTGGTGGCTGTAGGGAAAAAACTGTATGGAAAGAAGGGCTTTATCTTCGTCTTTTCCACTGCTTTTTCTCGGTTTTAAACTGCTTTTTCGGCGTTTGCCGGCTGAGGGCGTTCTTGGCTTTTCCACGGCAAACTGCGGAGCCTGACGTGCTCCGGCAGCTGATGGGAAAAGGTACCCTAGGGATGTGCTGCAGCCGCTCTCACTGCTCCCTCCTCAACTGGAGAGGGCACGCTTGTCCTTATTTTCCTCATTTTCCACCGGGCTTCCCCCCGCCCCCAGTAAAATCAAAACTCTTTCATTCGTTTATTTCCTAAAAACGCCCTTCACTTCATTCCACCCTGTCTCAAAATGCACGGAAAATTAAGGGCTATGCTTGCATCCAATGCACAACCCCCCCAGCCTTTCCCTTACCCCCATGGCAGACCCCACCCCTGCCCACTTCTGGACCCGAGGAGGGATCCTCCGGACACATCCCCAGGCTGACCCGCAGCCCAGCACGGCCGTGTGGTACCAGATGGCTGTTAGCTTTGCTCCTTGAACTTGCTGCCTTGCGAATGCTGATTTTCTGTGTGGAGCAAACTGTCTGGGTTGGGTGGATGGATATTAAGATTCATGAGCCTTCCTGAGGTAAGAAGTCAACCCCTAAGCCGCTGAGCTGTGCAGAAAAGTGTCAGCTCCGAAAGCAAGGAGGGAAGGAGATGGAGAGGTTTGCCCTCTGCCGTCTGTTGCTGCAACTCCCTGCTTAATGCCTTTTGCAAATATGGTCCACCCAATACCTTGGACTATCCAAACATATTACTCAGCATCCCCCAGCTCCACAAAAGCTAGGTGTGCTGGGGACACGGAGCAAGCCACCTGTAGCACAGCGTTAATTCGTCTCCTAAAGACTTTCAAGAAAGTGTATTTTTTTCCAACCAGCTGGCACAGACGTCCTATATCACCTCCCAGAGCTACTGAGGAGGCAACTTAGCCTGTGCCCAGCTCCATGCTTTCATGGCTGAGCACCTCATGGTGCTGGGACAGCCTGGGTTTGCCTCAATGTGCAGGCATCACCTTCATTTTGTCAGTGTTTTCCCATCCCCAAAGTGGAGCGAGTGATGGTCCCAGCAGGGTGTGGGGATGGTGGACCAGCAGCTGGCAGGTACCACCATGGTCTCTGACAGACAGGCTCTGTCTGTCCAGCAGCAGAAACCCAACCTGTTCCTGCCCCACAAATGCCCTCTCCTTCTCGGGCATCTCCCCCCTGAGCTGGCATGGCAGAAGTCCCACTGTCTGTCTGCTGCCTCCTCCAACCAGAGGGGTTATCTCACCCATCTTCTTGCACCCCTGCAATCAGTGGTTTCAGCAATATGAGATTGAGAAGCACAGAGGCAGGGTCCCAGGGCATCCCAATGGCCTGATTCACTACTGCTCTCCCTGCCCAGCACTTCCACCAAGGCTTGCCACGGGCTGATCGCCCTACCTTCGACTATGCATGCAAAGCTCAGCCCTTCTCCCACAGCTTGTTTCTTCTTCCTTTTCTCCTTTACTGTTGCCCGAGGCCCTGCAGAGTGTCCCTTAGCCAGTCCCAGCACTGGCCTGATAATAACCTGACATTTTCCCGTACAGAAAATGGAAAGGACTTTCTGCACAGACAGAGGGAAAGTTTCCAATTGCTGAGATGAGAATGTGACACTCACTGAAGTTGGGCTGATGTGATCAGCGGTAATTAATAGAGGGCCTGAACATAACAAATGGCACCAATTCCTATGAAATGCTATTGTCAAATACCTGCGGGCATTTAGCTGCACTGTAGCAGTCCCCAGCAGTGGCATAAGGAACGGGTCGTCCATCATGTGTCCGTGCAAACTGTAAATCAGTCGCTGTGGAGAAGAGTTGGTGAACAACACAGAAAGAAAGATGCAGGGAGAGAGACAAAATAAATGTAAACATGTTCTTTGCTAATGTTTAAGCTCATTAAAGCTGGTTTCATACATCAATCTTGAGAGTCAAGACCTCATCTGCCAGATTTTTAATATTAAATCCCCAATTCATCCCACAGGTGACTCCCTGGCACTGAGTGTAACAGGATGCTCATACACTCAATGTCCACAGCTCGGTTTAAGTACACTGGTGATTTAGGACCCAGGCATAAATAACAACAAAATTCGAACCCATGACTTGGGTTTTATTTCTCTATCAGAAAACTCCCTGCTTTCAAGAAGGCCATGGGAACACCTAAATCTCCCTTTTAAAGAAAGGCAAACAACCATCTCTGTGCTCTCCTGGCTGCCCCAGCCCAGGGGTCGGGGTTTCAAAGGGAATTGGGGTATTTTGCTCTGGAGTCATCTAAAGTAACTGAGACTCATTTAGATGGGGATGTGAGATAGCTCCTGCCTGACAGAGGTAGGTGCCGAGCTCCTTTTGAAATTCAAAGGGAGCTGGTATCAAATTCCCCGAGGGTGGTTCCTTTGAGATCTTTACCTCGGAGCTTTTACAGACTATTAGTAGCCTTTTACAGATTGATAGACTGGGAGGTCTCATGGCTTGAAAATTAAGTGATAAAAAACCGCTATCAGATAAGGAGCCATTTTACAAGGAAGGATTTTGATTTGCTAAAAAATCTCTGCTATTTACTGAATGAAGCCCCGACAATGTGTTATATTTTTAAAACATTTGCTGGAAACTGATAGCATCCCTGGAGTCAAGAGGGCTGAAACCATAACCCTATGGGATGCTGCAGGCTCTCCAGTGGTGGGATGGCTCCCAGCTCCCCCACATGCTGGTGGGAGTAACAGTGTACCACTTACATTGCACAGCTACAGTCCCCTCCTCTTCCCCTGCAAATCCGTGGCTCCATCGCTCTCAACACAAGTTATTTCCCCATGGTCTGACTCTGCTGAGAGCCTCTTCTGCCTCCCCACTGCACCAATACTGGCTCGGAGGGAGCAGCATCCCTACCACAGGCCAGTCCCATGCACTGGGATCTCCTGGCACGTCTGTGAGCAAAAGGGGGGGGGGGGGGCAGCTCCTCCCTGGTTAAGCTTTCTGCCTGAGACCAGTCTGAAAACAGGAGACCAAATGAAACAAAATCCTTCAAAAAATAACACTGGCCTGCTGGGAGCATGCAAATATTCATTCTGTATAGCAGACGCACCAGCGCCTGTCTTAGTATTTTCCTGTATTACAGAGAAACAGTACGTGCATCTCTGATGTACTCAAGTTGCAGTCTCTAAGTGTAAAGCAGCAAACAGGTGATCAGGTTTAAAAGCAGCTTTTAAGAGGAGAGCTCAGGAATATTGCTCACTAGTGTATTACTGCTTGTTTGTAGTTATAGCTATGTTTGTGTAAAATAAACATTTTTTTTTAATGGCAAGGCCCTGTTTTTACTCACTTATTATTTGCATAGTGTTCAGGTCCAGCCTTACTTTGCTGAAGGTGGAAAACCCAGCTGCTGTGTAATCTTTCCTACACTGGCAGTCTTCTCGTCTGCTCCCGTTATATGGACATTCAGTCGGGTTATGCAATCTAAATCAAAAGAAAACCCTTTCTACTCATGACTGGAAAATATTGCCATGGAAAACAAAAATATCGTGAAGCTCAGGATTAAAGGATTTCTTACCTGTATCCATACACTTCCGAAAAATTCTCTGCATCCCCATTTACAAGGGTCACATACTCCTTTGGGCTGTCGGTCTGCATCCCGGAGCAATACACCTGAGAGAGAGAAGACAGAATTTTGTCAGGCATCATGTGCAAAGGGAATCGCTGAGAAAACCAAAGGCAGAAAATCCAAGAGTGGAAGTGAAAAGCACACGCAGGGTCCTCTTTCACCTTTGGGAAATGCATTAACTATCAATCTGTTGCTGAAATGCACCTTTAACATCTTTCCTTTGACTTGAAGGAAATATTCGCCATCTTCAGTGACACCTTTGAGACTTTTAACGTCTTTGCAACTCCTTGGTAATTCACCTGAAATAAAACAGAAATACTTACAGTCACTGGGCAACTGTACATCAATTTTTTTTTTGAAACACTGTGAGGCACCCAAAGCATCAAAACTCCTTGTTTATTTTTAAGAGGTTTCCCTGAAGTGCCTTAGTGCTTTGTTGGATGGCTCCCAATGCTTGGAAATACTGCATACCTCTAGGAGTCTGATGGGAAAAGATGCTGAAGCCACAAGAAAGGCAAAGGAAGGTGCAAAACCGCAGACTTACAGTCATGGACGTTGTGGCATGTCCTTCTCTCTTCAGGTTTCAGATCCGCATGGCACAAGCTGCTGACCTGGTCATCGTTCGTCAAACACTGCACCGACCGGTGCATGACTCCAACTCCACAGGTGACCGAGCACTGCAAGACAGAAGACAGAGATTCATATTTTATCTCAAGGGTTTCTGGGCTCCAGAAAAACAGAGACAGTTAGTTTCCCTTGTATCAAAAGATAGCAGCAAAGGCCCCAATCCTGCACAGTGTTCAAACACAGGCTTAATTTTAATCAAATGAGTAATCCCTTTTATTATTAATCCCTTCATTATTATCACCATCACTAATTATTTCAAGAAGACTACTGAACTTTGCTTAGCACTTAAACACTTTACAGGATGAGGCAGTATTGGTTAAGGTGAACCACGCGCTCACGTTAAATTGTTTGGTTTTCATACTAGAAAAGTTGTACAAGCCAGAAATGTTCACTGGAAGGCCTGAATGGTAGAAATCTTCTCCTGGTGGCTGGGAGGGATTGCTTGGGACTGACAGGGGCCTTGAACAAACATGACATGTTTTGTTGTTTTCTACACAAATTGCATCAAAAAACCCTGCAGCCTCCAAACCCTCTATCTCCTTACCCTCTGGAAAAATGGCTAAACCTGCACAAACACTGGGCCATCCTCAAACAGCTCAAATTAAGGGCAATCTCAAGGCTGAAATTGCACAAGTTACTGGAGCTACTGAGCAGCAGCTTGTCCGTGCTGGTTGCTGCTTAACATGGGCGATGGGAGCATCTTGCTGCCCCTCCATAACTTGTTCTCTCAGTACTTGAGAACTGAAAATCAACTTAGCAGGTACCAGGTTAGGTTGCCAAGAAAACAATGCTGCTCACCTATTTAGAAAATTACTAGTCTAAAGGAGCGCACCATGAAGATGGTCTTCAATGGCTCAGGGTATTCACAATTTGGCAGTTACACTTTATCAGGTCCAAATCCATAAAACTTAACTAAGGAGCTGAGCAGGACTCTCTTTGTCCATCAAAGGTTATGGTATTTTATATTAAATCCCTTTGAAAATCAAGAATGAGAAGGGCAGTGGCATTTGGTAGTCGCTGGGACATTCAGCAGCCCAAAGTGAGGAGAGAGGTCTTGCTCTCTGAAATGAATACTCTTTGCAATGAAGTTGCATTAATGAGTTGGACATTTTGCACTGAAATTCTGGGGAAAAATACCAATTAATTGAGGCTGAGCTCTTTGCTGTAACTTCTCTGCCCTGACTTGCAGGGAGGATCTGAAGCTTCCTATGGGGCAGGAGGAACTTAGGTTTCAAAGAGCTCTGCCATTTACTGTCACAACTTCCACTACATTTTGCTTGACTTGACCCTCGTTGCCTTGTAAAGGTTTGACAAATTCCTCTGAATGCCCGAGCTCGGTTAATAAATCAAATTTATGGGAGAAACACCACATTTCAAAGAATGTCAGAAGCCCAAAGAAGTGAAATGTTATCACCTTAACTAAAATTTGATCTTGTAGTTCAGGCCCCAGAACAGGCTCAGCACAAATAACTTTAGCAGAAGGGCTCAGTTCTTTTCCCTGCCCTGTCCCAGCATAGTAAGAAGGGGAGGGGGGAGAGAAGGAAAGAAAAATCCTTTTAAGGCTCAAATTACCAATGTTTTGGCCTATTCGTAGTTCTCAAGTCTTGCTCATAAACATGGCCAAGTGGGATCAACTCCAGCTGCCAGCTATCCATCAATCCCTCTAGCACAAGGCTTTCAAACCCTTGTTTTCTGGCAATGACCCTGCTTTCTGACTAAGCATGACCATCAACACTGCCACAACTTTTGGTTACATCTGAATTTTCATGGAGATCACGACTCTGTTTGTAGCTACTAGGACTCCCTCATATGATGGGCTTCAGTCTGGAGCGTGGAGCCCTACACACACCAGGGCTGCCACTGCAGAGGGTATTTGTTGCATTAATTTATGCAGCTCTTAAACGTTCCCCCACCAAATCTTCATATTGTGCCCCTAGTGTAAAGAAAACCAAATTTGTTCCAACTTTTTCAGTTGAAAAAAGAAGTTTGCCAAACTTACACTTCCCCAGTTGCCAACGCGCCAGGACGTCGAGACGGGGCACTCCCCGAGGTAGCAGGGCTGGATGTTGGGCGGCTGTGTGCCAGGACAGTTGACCGTGTTCTGGTACCCATACTCATAGTGGTCCTTCCCGGTGTAAATCTCGCTGCAGGACACCAGGCGCTGCCTGTATCCCTTCCCGCACGTGACGGAGCACTGCGGGCAGAGGAAGCGCCTGTTAGCACCACACGCTTTGGGAAGGCTGCCCAAACCAGGGAGGAAAAGCAGGCTTGCCAGCTTTTAACACAACAAGCTGCTCTGAGGAATCACTAGTAGCTATTTAAGCCAGCCAAAAGCATTGTGAGCAGCTACAAGCAGGCTGGTGCCTGACGCAGTCTTTGAGTACTCGATTCTTCCCTGTGCTGCCCTACAGCTGCTCCAGGACCTCCTACTCCAGGTTGGCTCCTGGGCACATGTTATCTCTCCGCAAGGGCAAAGAAAAGAGCAGAAAATCCTTTGGAACTCAGAAATGCCTCTATTATTTGGGTTTTCTTTTTTTTTTCTTTTTCTTTCTTTCTCTTTTTATTTTTTTTGCTATGGGATGAACAGAGAAAGAAAATGGTCAAGACTGACTCTGAATTGAAGGTACTTGGCAGCAACTGGAAGAAAGGGAAGGTTTTCATTGTAATTAGAGGACAAACAGTGCTTCTACCCTCCTCACCAAAAGCTGAGCAGGAGAGCTCTCTCTGGGGAGAGCTGAGCTCCAGCTCCGTGAGCCCTTGCCCACCTCTTTGTCTTCACGTGCCTGAGTGCTCCCAGGGGGTCACAGGCGGTGGGAGCAGGTAGAAAGCGCTTGGGCAAGTGGCAGCTAGGGCTCCAGCTTCACAGGCACCCTAACATTTCTCTTAGGAAACTACCCAGGAGATCAGGCTGCTCCGAGAAATTCTCATCTCTCTGCGTTTTTCCCTCCTGCGCTATCTTGGGTGGCTTGTCTCTCCTCCCCCTCAGCCCCGGTATGTTTTCTTTTTTCCCTTTTCTTGTTCTTTCTTTTTAATCACTGCTGTGTCAGCAGCTGCCTTGTCATTTCCCTCTGCTGTTCCTCCAAGTGGAAAGTAATCCTTCACTCGCTGCAGAAGGAAACAGGCTGAGATTAGCCCAGATCCTCCCGCGTGCAGCGCCTGCCACAAAGAAAACTCATCTATTTTCCTTGCCGAGCCCTCTCCCAGCCGTGAGGGTGAACCTGCTGCCTTTGCTCACCCCAGGTCCTGGATCCTGCCAAAGACGTCACCGGGGAAGGACGTGTCCCCGTGGTCACATCCAAGCTCACCTTTCGCCCAGGGTGCTCACCTGGATCCTTGCACAGCTCACAGAACTCCAGAGCTCCCCGGGAGGGGAAGGGAATAATATCAAATAAATACATAAATGAAACAAAATGGCACAAAACCAAAGTGGATGCCTGCTGAAGAACACGATGTGCTTTGGAAGAAAATTGCCTCTAGATATTAGCTAAGACTCTGAGCATGCTGGCGTTTAGTCTTTAACATCCTGGTCTTCTCCCACAGCCCCTGCTCCTTTCTCTCCAGCAGGGAAATTGCAAACAGAAAGAAACAAAAAAATAATAATTAAGCCACGCAGCGCTGCCCTGCCACTGTTGATTTGGGTTGCAATATCTCAGCGAGGCCAGCGGCGAGAGGAGGAAAGCGTGGCCCAGTGCTGAGCAGCACGGTCCCCGTGCAGGGATGGGGATGGGGGCTCACCTCCGACCACTCCCCGGTGATCCAGACGTACTCGCAGGGCGGCAGCCCGCAGCTCTCGATTTCGGGGGGGCGTTTGCTGGTGTCGCAGTAGCCGCTGTTCTGCACCCGCTTGTTCTCATCCACGCAGACCACTTTTCGGTACCGAGATGCCTCCCCGCATGTCTTCATGCACTGTTTTGAAGAAACAACAGCTCATGCAACCCACGAGGGACTTCAGCAAATTAATCTGCATCGGCAAAGTGAGTGAACCCTCCTCCCGGCAGCTCGAGTGAGCGGATAGCTCTGCGCCCCATGTTGGCATCTCTCATCAGTATCACCAGGCGGCAAATTTGAGACCAGGGCCCCTTTGTGCCAGGTGCTGCAGGAGCATCCAGTGAAAAACTGCTCCCGCCCTCTGGAGGTACTAACCCAAATCGCAGACGTAGGGAGAGAGGAGAAACCGAGGCAGCAGGTATTGGGATGGGGCAGATATGGGGGTCCAGCTGTGATGGGACCAAGAGATGCAGGGGTGGGCATGCCAGGCCAGGAGACGGGGCAAGTTGGAAAGAAAGGGGCCAACCTCCATTATTTCAGCCCCTAGTAAATACAGCCCCTTGGAGAATGACAACCCATCCATCCCCCTTCCAAAATACATGCCGTCACACCCTTGGCTGTGCCTGGTGTGGGGGGAGCCCCTTCCCTGGTCCCAGTATGGTGTGGGGGCACATCTCTGCAGCCGAGGCAGCTCTACGGGTTTATTTTCTTTTAAACACTGCCCTGCCCGATATTAAGAGCAACCCATGCTAACCGAGCACAACAGCTTCCTGGGGGCTTCTGGAGACTTTAAGGACTCGGTTCTTTGTCTGCTCATCTTGGAAAAACCAGCCCAGCTGTGAGGCTGCGCTTCTGGGACAGGGTCTGTGCTCAGAGCACATCTTGCAAAACACACACATAAAACAAAATAAATCAGCATGAGAGCAGCCGTCTGGATAAACCCCTATTTTCTTAAAGTTATTGCCTGTAATGGACTTCTAACACTTTCAAGTAACTGGATTTACAAGGAGAAAAATGCATGAAAATAATAATTTTATATAACGTGCAGGAAATGTCTTCCCCTAAGGAAAAGGATAAAACATTCAATCAGACCATCCCTATCTGTACAGAAACACCGTTTGAAGTCACCTAGGCTCGGAGGACCGTGACAGTTTAATCTAGTTAGAGTCTCACTCGCTGCACATCATTTCCAGCCTCCCCGAAGCAGCTCCTGCTCTCCTGGCTGCCCCACAATTAGCAAGCTCTTAGTGGGTTCAGCTAATTGTGAAACGCAGGCACTGTCAGGCCCCCCCCCTTTCTGTAATTAGCTGTCAGAACCAAGATGGCAAATTATGTGAGAACTTCGAGAAATCAGATCAATCCGTGGCAGGAGCAGCAAACCAGGAGAGCCGCGGTGAGTGCAACGTCGTGTTCGTCGTAAATATTTACTAACCGAGCAAAGTGGAGGGGGACGGGGAAGGAGAGGCATCCTCACAAAGCTGCATTTATCCTGAAGGAATAACTTAGGAGCTCTTAGGCAACAGTCAACATTGCAAAACCCACAGTCTGCCAAAAGACCCCAAGGGCTTCATGTGCTTTCAACCTTATTTACTCTCTTGCTTTAAGTCCTTGGAGTGGAAGCTCCTTCTAGGTCTGTGCCAAAACACAGCAATCCTACAGGGGCTGGAGGAATTTGCTGAAGTGTGATTTCCCCAGAGAGCAAACAAACTGTGCTATATTTGCCCTTCTCTGATATCTCCCTATTATATAAGTAAAATCTGCAAGGGGTTTATTGCATGTGAACAAAAGGCATCACTAGTGCTCCATTGTCACTAAGCTTCCCTGAGTGGCACCTTTCAGGGGCAGCATGAACCCCAACCTTCCTGCTCCCTCCTAATAAGGGACTCTCCAGTGTAGCGGGAGCGGGGCCATGGGATGCTCAAAGCTCCCCCCTCGTCTCTGGTTTGGCGTATGCCAGCCCAGCACATGGTCACCAGCACAGGGTAAATCATCCCAGCCCTCCGCTGCTCACGGCCAAAGGAGGCGTCTTGCAAGAAGCAGGAAGAAACAAGCCTGATTTCGTCTTCTCTTAATGTGTATTTAAGCCTAAATTTGCAAAGTACATTGGCTCACGCTTAATTTTAAGAGGGTGAACAACCTCTATGCCATCAATGCATCTCCTGACATGGGCCGTGAAGAGCTATCATATCAAAAGCCCATCCTCATTTAAAATCATTAGCGGCTGATGAGAGATTGACACTCTCAAGCACACACCAGCCTGCTTTGGGTTTCTCTGCAAGTAACGGTCATATGGCCAAATACTCCAGCTCTGTGCGTTTTGTCATCATCAGTAAATTAATGTTTGATTATTTGTATTTTTAGGTATAACTGGCAATTAAAATAATCCCACTGAGATTTTAAATATGGTTCAAAGACAGTGAGACCTTCATAAACCAAAGAGAAACACTGCAGAGTTTCCAATCAGCCACCCCAAGGTTATAAAACATTATTCATGTAGAAAGCGGACAGTTCAACTAGCATGAAAAGGCTATTTTTCCTTTTAATGCGGTGATAGATTCTGTATGAAATTTCATGTTCATGACTGATCTAAATCTTACATGAAACAGCATGGCCAGGGTATAACAGCTATTGATAGCAAGAGCTGAAAAACAGGTCAGGCATTTGACAATATTTGTCTCTCTTGCCTCATTTCCCAAATGCTGAACTATTTTCCTGGCAGTTCAAATTAAGGACCATTTCAAGCACTTCTGTGACTGTTTTAGAAGAGTAATAATAATTAAAAAGGCCCCAAAGGCATTGCTTTGCAAAAGCAGTCATTGTTTTCTTTTTTTTTTTTTAATCAAAATCTGACACAGAGATGAAACAAAGCCCCATGCCATGAACACTTCAAACATGCCTTGGGTAACTCTGCAACCCAAATCAGGCAAGGATGGCATGATTTTCCCCCAAATGGCAAATGTTAAAGAGTCAAGAATTGCATCGCAGCTTCCAGAGCCATGCATTGTCCTTCCACAGAGGTTCATATTGAAAAAACCTTTCTCTCTCCCAGTTTTCCCTTTTTCTTCATGACCCTGGTCTGAGTTTCACTTTGACATTAGCAAGGCCCTTTCTATTGACTTTCTTCTCCCTGGTGTGGGCACTGAGAACAGCTAATTAATGGTGGTAGACCAACAGAGCAATAAACAGTTTCCAGTAAGTTCCCTATTCCTTTTCATTGGCAAGACCAACTCTTTTCTAAACAACAACAACAACAAGGAACAATAAAAAAACCCCTCTCGACAGATTCCCTTTAAAGATAAGAAATCAAGAACAAGACAGCACTGGGATTTTATTTTACATCCTGCCTTTCATGTCAATTAGGGTTCATTGCTGTTCCTTGCTCAGAGAATACTAATGCAATCTCTGCCTCCTCACTATAAATAACTTGCAGCCAGTACTTATGGCTGGGGAGAAGGTGCTATTACTTTTTTTCACCAGGTACATCAGAGCAGAATAAGAAGTGCTCAGAAGAAAGACTGCTTGGAGTCAGCCCCGGGGCGAGCTCACACTGGGCATCTCCTGCAGGTTTTTATTAACAGTTATTTATGGGTGAGGAAACTTCCAGCCCATTCCCCTAGCAAAGCTCCCCTGGGAAAAAAAAAAAAAAAATCTCTGTGTAACACGCTAAAAACTTCCCCAGTGCATTGGGGAAGCCTGGAAAACTTAGGAAAACATCAGCATCCACCTCCTGCCAAGGGCTGGGCAGGGTGGGGGCAGGCAGGGGCCTCTCGCTGCTGGTTTGAAAAGTTGCAAAAATAAGGACAAGAGGGTGAAAGGACAGGGTAGGAGGCGTGGCTTCTGAGGGTTAATTACAGCGTTGGGTAAGGACTGTAACTGCATGCTGTTCGGTGACCTACTTTGCCGCCTGTAAATTTGTTAGCTGAAGAAATTTAACGGGCTCTGTAAAAGCAAAAGTTCACTGCAAGGAATTTGCTGGACCCCCCTCAGTCATTCCTACTTTTCTTTTCCAGGCTGGGATGGCTCCTTTGGGTACCACTGCATGATCAGCTCGGCTTTGCCTCCCGCTGCTTCCCATCACACCCCGGCTCCCCAGCAGGTGGGAATGGGGCACGGTCCCCTCCGCCCTCTTGCACTCGTGGCCATCTTACACAGGATTATAAACCCAACTTTCCAGTGATGCTGAGACTGAGGAAATGAAGCTAAACTTGTTTGTACTGTCCCCATCAGGACGAGGTACTGTGGGCAGGGGGATATCAGATAATGTCACACATGTGGCTGCTTGCAGGTTGGGATGCTCTGCACAATAACGAGGCAAGAACGAGGGAAGGAAAGATGAGCGGAAAGCAGACACTGCCTTAACCTTGAATTTTTTCTTGCTGCAGCGGAAAAGTTCTGCCGTCTCTGCATGTGAGAGGTGCTTTTTCTCCCATCAGGAAATTCCCTTTTCCTACCCTCCTCCTTTTTTTCAGTGACACAATAAAGGCAAGCTCTAGAAGTATCTGCAAACACCAAGACCTTGAGCAGGAAGCCAGCGGTGCCTCCCCATCTTTTGCTACTGGAGCAGGAGGCCCTGTTTTGCGTTTACACCGTGGCCTCTTCACACTGTCTCGGCAGGAGAAGGGACATTAACCAATTTCATTGCCCTTCAAGACCCCCATGGGCCATTCAGGGGCAATATAAAGGCAGCCTCACTTCCAATGAAAGCCGGGTCTCTGTTTGATTAATATTTCTCCTGCCCCCCCGAGTTGCTCACTGCAGGTGTCAGGGTGATCAGGATCAGGCTCTGATCATGCACCTCCAAAGTCAGTGGGATCTTTGCTGTTCAGAGGGTGCAGGATTGAGCCCCTGCTGCCCTGCCACTGGGGCCAGCAATGGTTTTGCCGGGAGGCTAATGCACCTGGTGGAGGGGGTCTTCTGCCCCTCTCCATCCCCTGCATCCCTATGGAGGGCCCATGACAGGAAATCCCTTTCTCCCTATGTGATGAGGACATCCTCTCCATAGGAGTGGTGGCCTCTTCTGTGCGCTGTGTGACACAGGAGTCAGCTCCCCAGAGCTGTCATCTGCATCACCTTTCCCATTTCCAACACTGACAGTCCCTGCATCGCAGGGAAGATCCTGGGACAGTGGGACAGGGATGGAGGAGAACTGGAGCAGGACTCTTTCACCCGGGGATGGCTAAAAATGGAACAAAACCAAAATGAAAATATTAATTTTGGTGGCTGGTCTGAACTCTCTCTGCTAACAGCTGTTGTGCACTCGAAGCCTGCCATGGCACTCTGCAGGTAGCCCACGGGTGGGCTTCTCCTGGACCCCTTCCTCCTGCACAGAGTCCCCTTGTCCTCCTGCCACCCACCAGCCTCAGGCCCACCCATCGTCCACAGTGCAGGCGAGTCGGAGTCGCTCCCTGAACTACTGGAGCAGCAGCTTTATCCTCTGCTCCAGCCTAAGGGGTTGGTTCTGCTGGGGACTGATCCCGGTCACTCAGAAAAGCACCGTCTCGTGTGGGAGATCTCATCTCAGCACTGCTCATGGCTTGACAAAAAGCATGGACCAGGGGCTCAGTGAAAGGAGAGAGCTGTCAGAAGGTAATGGGGCAGGAAACTGGGAATTACCAATGTTCCTCTGTTCCTTCAAACCCACAGGCACGGGGCTCACTGCCTGAGCAGCACAGCAGGGCTCAGCGTCTGGGAACAGACCCAAATCCGCCCTACCCTAAACCTGCTCAATATTTGCATAGGTCCCAGCCAAACACAGGGGAGCACGAAGCAATCAATTAACCCTATGGGAGTATTTCTCAGCTCCCCCTTCCAGCCAGCATGCGTGAGAGTTTCCTCTGCTTTTTTCTTTTTTGTTTGTTTGGCGAGCCCGGGTTGCAACCCCAAAACCCCAGCCCTCCGGCACCGATCCCCGGCCCCAGCGGCCCCCCGTCTCCAGCATCATCCCGGGCTGCATGCTTGAGAGCACAAGTGACGTGACCCCGGGGAAGGGCGAAGGGGGGGACCCCGCTTACCGCTTGCCATTCGCCGGCTGCCCAGTGGTGCGTGGGGCACTCGGGGAGGTGGCAGTCCCGCTGCGGAGGGGGCCGGACGGCTGGGTCACACTCTGCCTCCTCGGCTGCCTTCGGGGTGCTGCTCTGGCAGTGCACGGCACGGCGCTGGACACCCCGGCCGCAGGACACCGAGCACTGGAGGGAAGGACAAAAGGTGAGTGGTGGTCCTCATCACAGTAAGTTCCCGGGGCTCGTCCCCTGCTCTGGGCTCAATAGCAGCACCAGCGATGCTCTAACGCCGGTGTTCAAACTTCCAGGGGAGGCTTTTCGTTGCACAAGGGAAAGTTTTTGCAAGGGTAGAGCAGACAGGCTGAAATCCCTGCTCCGCTGAAGCCAGTGGGAATTTTTGCCTTTGGCTTCAGTGGGGTCAGGATTTCCCGGCCAGGATTTTTATTGCAAAAACCTCTGGAGATAGCGGCACTGCTAATCCATCACAACATGCCAGAGGCGCTGAGGCTCTGTGTAATACTGCTCAGGCACTCAGCTCAAAAAAGTAATAGTTCAAAATATATCAAATGCCACAAGTGTCACTGGAGTGGACTTTAATGAAAAGCAAACTTGAATTATATAGAAGGACTTCTGTAGCGGTAGAGAGGTAAAGGTATGATACAGCTGGGATTTCTGTCAGCGCGCATCTAAACACGCACATGCACACAAGCCAGGGCATATGGTTAGTTTATGAAAATAAATGTTGCGGGTTTTTTTTAAATTAACTGCATTTCACATTTCCTTCATTACACTGTGGGCACATTTCTCCCCACTTCTAGGCACAGCAAGAAAAGCCTGAATTTGTCTGTTTCTCAGACAGCTTCAAATTACTACCTACACTACGATGCTTTCAACGGCTTGTTTTTTTCTTTCCCACAACATTTCTTAGTATTGTGAGCGCACGCTGTAATATGTTCAGCAGTATGGTATGGATTCTTCCTGGCTAGATCTTAAGGTGTACTATATAGATTTGAAATGAAGAGAATTTGCATTTATAGAAGAAAGCATGTACCAATCAAAGGTATGCATTTAAAACACAGCTATCACGATTAGCCATTTGCTGAATTAACAATTAATGTAAGCAACCTTATTAATACATCAGGTACTAAGAAAACAAGTTTACAGCCTGTGATTGCAGTACCCATAAAAGCAAGCCTTCTCAAGGCAGGGAATTAAGTGACGCCTAATGAGAGAAGCAAGTCTCTCTTCTGCAGAGTATTCCTCTGCAATGCTCCGTTTGCTTTACTGTCCAAGTGCTCCATATAGCCAAGAGGACCAAAGGAAAGCTGTCTGTGAATATTCATCTGCCTTTGGATATTTGTAAGCGGGTGGGAATTTTTTTTTTGTGTAACTTTTGAAAGTAGCAGTGAGATTTCTGTCACTGGTGATGCAAATGCTTCCCATATGCTGCGCTGCCTCCCTGTGATTAACGGATTAACGGCCTTGTTTGTCCTACGCATTCCATAGGGGACAGTTAAACTGAATAGTGGCCACAAACTTGGAGAAACATAGACACCAGGACGCATACCATACTCTAAAATGCCTTTTGGTTTGCATTTATCACCCACCTAAAAAGCACGCACCTCGGTATGTTATGATAAGGGAGTGCAAGTCACCCCGTAGCTCTTTCACAGGGGTCTGTGCTGCGTGTGACACCCAGCCAGAGACGGTTTGGGGAGAGGGAGGTTGGTCCCTGGCCATGCTGGGCAAAGCAGGGTACGGGGCAAAGCCGCAGACTTGTTTCACTGTGTGCCCGGGTGAAACTTTGCCCCTGTGTAAGCCCAAGAGGATAAACACTGCACTCTGACCGAGTCGGTGGGAGGACTTGCAGTGGGGGAGCAAGAACCCCCAGGACACCAGGCCAGGGCTGCTGTGTCCCAGGCCATCTCTTGGAAGAGATTTGAAGCCCCCTCCTGTAAGTGAGCAAGCAAAGAGCTTTTCCTTGGGCTAATTACAGGAGCGTATGTGGGGGGAGGCTTTCCCCCGCTGAGTGGGCTTCCTGGTGGCCAGTCACCCAGGGCAGCCACGCTGCCATCCAGCCACGGCACGGGTGACAGAAATACCAGTGCAGCCCTGACCCGAGAAGACGAAGGTGCAGGTGAGCCTAGCCCTGAGGCCGCAGGAGGGCTGCGGTGGGGCTGACCCCGCCACACCAGGGCATTGCCACCGCTGGAGCACGAAGCCCTGCTGAGGAGGGGGCAACGGCTGCGCCCGGCTTGGGCGAAAGCTGGGGAGTTGGGCCATGGGAGTTTTCCCTGCAGACCAAGGCATCTCCTTCTGCGGGGTGCTTCCTCCCGCTGCCTGTGCTGCAGCACCAGTATTGCCATGGCTCCGGCTGGGTTTATGGCTGGCTTCAAAATAACACCATTCCGCTCTGTTACAGAGGCAAGAAAAGGTGGGTTTTAACACCATTTTCATCCTGGCTATTTTAATCCAGGACACTGGTCAGCCAACCTGTGTGCACCTTGGGGAAATACAGCCAGCTGACACTGCCAGAAGACGTTCAGTTTGTGGGCAGCCAACTTGTGCTGTGCTTATGTATTCTCCTACGGGATGCCATGAGCCGGGCAGCCTGTTTGTCCTTTCTATGGAGTCTAAACATTTTCCCAGGAGCGCTCCTTTCTCCACTGAGAAAGTCAATCATCAAACTGCCGAGTGGCAGCTCGGCTATGCAGAAGCTCTACCTGATGCTCTATCTGTGTTTTTAGACAGGGCTGGATTTCAGCCTGTAGCTGAAATATGTAAATACCAGCGAGCAGAATAAATATTGGTATTTTTGTTAAGTGAAAGGTAAATGGCCACAATTGATACCACTTAGGAGACTAAATAGGACATTTCAGTGCAGACACAAGCATGTATAAAACTTGGAGAAAAAGCCTTTTTTCTTCCCTTCTGATTATTATGGATATATTAAAAATGCTTTGCTGCAGGAAAGTGGCTTCATAACAATCTAGAAAAGAATTACCCAGCCTCGGAATACAAAACATCCAGAGAGAAAAAAAACTGGGAGTGGAGCACCAGCTTAGCCAGCTGCTGACTGGGATTCGTTTTTAATCATTCCTGTATTTTTTAATCTGATTTTTCGAATCATTCCTTTTCCCAAAAGCAAAAGAAAAAATCAAACCCTAAGGACACACACAACATGTCCTGTGTGTATATGGCAACAAGGAGGATGCACTTTTATGGGAAAACCTTGCCTTATTTCTCACACGGACTTTTGCTGGTTTACCCAGGACAAAAGGCAGCCAGCTTCAGCAGCTCAGCTTTGGGATTACTTTTCAGGGGCAATTAGACCTTCAGAAAGCTTTTTTTGATAGTATCTAAGTGCAAAGTTATCATGGCTCCTATTTCCAACAGTGGCACCAGTGATGTGGAAGGCAACACAGAGTTTCCGTGCCCATTTAGATCCTGATCTACTGGGTATTCAGTAGGTTCAAACCCCTGCCTGTTTCACAGTCTTAATGAGAAGCTCAGCACCTAAATGCACCTCGGCTCTAAGGCATCAAATCTTTTGCAAAACCGTGCAGGCCCTGCACAGCTCCTGCAGGCACAGCCACGGCCAGTGCTCCAAACTTCTGATAGCCCCAACTCTTCATCTGTCACAGGCAAAGAAACACTGCCAGCACGAGCGACGATCAGGACGCAAGGAAACCATGTCAGAGCATTTCACGTGGCTTTAATGAGCCCAGTTTGATATTGCAGAATGAGTGTTTCTACCCCTTTATTTTCTCCCCAAGCAAGACTCCGGCTGGCTGAGCACATCCAGCATCAGGGACCTGGCTGAAGGACTACCCCTGGAAACGCACTGCCTATTCTTAGCCTTATCATTACCATACAAATATTCCTTCATTGCCTAGTCACAAGAGGCCATAAATCACCTCATCCTCCTATTAACTTGGGTTTCTTTCTCCACTTGCATAAAATTAAATCTGAACATGCAGTAGAATGGTAGGAGAATTTAAAAACACTTACTTTTATCAATTAACATTAGTGTATTTTAACACAATTGACAGACCATTACATTATTGTGTTTACAATTATTAGCTGTAAAAAATTGCTTTCAGGAGCAGTCACTGTAAATAGGGAGCAAATCAGATATGACAAGTCTATTTAATGGCCTCGCATTTCTTTTCAGCCTAGCTTCCTGTACAAAATCGAGATTTCAGTCCTGCAAGTAATAAAGGTAATAATATTGACTTAATTTCCAGCATGGGAGCATCACTGTGCATTTCACAAGGGCTACGCAGGGCTACCTGGGTGCTCCCAGCCATACCTTGGGTAAAGGACCCAGACCTCAGTAACTGAACCTGCATGGTGAATGCACACTTAGCCCTTGACAGACGCAATGGCAAATACTCCTATCCTATGAATTCAAAGGTAAGCATTAAAAAACCCCAAATAAGTCTGAAAACAATCATAGAACATCATCAAGAGGTTTATTGTCTTTTTTAATAGTCGATGTTAAACAACAGTATGCTGTACTAGTCCTAATATTTGCATGTGTGCCTGTAGAGATGTTAATGGTTTATCTTTCAGGGAACTTGCATACAGTTAGAATTGGTGTTTTGAACTTTAATTTGGAAGACAGACCGCAAGAGAACATGATGTTTTGCAAGTTAAGAGTTCATTTAGTCTGGGATTTTCAATAATTCTGCTGATTAGCACACTAATGAGGCAGAGGTAAAAGCGAGGTTCAGAGATAAAAATGTGATGCAGCAGATTCAAGGTGATGATAAAGACATTATTTTCAGGAAAACAAGGATTCAAGGTGTGCTTTCAGCAAACAAGATGCTTAATAACTCCAAGCGCTTTCACAGTTCCAGCAGCCTCTGCTCTATGCATCAGTGTATGACTTTTTAATGAAGCAAAATCAAGTGATGAGCTTGTTAAGAAACAAAAGGTAGTGAAAAGCATTTTTAATGAACAGCTCTGTTCTTCAGGCTTTCCCAGGAAAAAAATAAGCAAGATTTTCCTTGGGATGTGCCACAGTTAACTTCTAATATTAAAAACATGAATAAATAGTAGATTCTCTTTTTTGTTACTATACTAATGACTCTTCTAGCAGAAATTTAAAATATACAAGGAATTTGCTTTCAGATAGACACTAAAAGCAAGTTGCCATGTTTTCAGCTGGTACAAATCAGTGCTGCTCCACTGCTGTCCCTGAAGCTACACTGTTTTACACCACCTGAAGATCTGGCCCAAAACTTTTACCCTTGAAAAATTCAAGAGGACAGAAGTGATGGGAAAACCACCTTCTAACCAGTTTGATGGAGGAAGAATATCAAAGGGTGCAAAAGGGCATACAACGCGTCTCACCTGTCCCCAATCTCCTGCTTTCCACTTCGGACATCTGCCCCCTCTGCATTTCTTTTGCATGTTGGGCTTAGCAAGGTGCTTGCAATAATCTTCTTCTACATGCCTCCCTTCCTTTGACAAACAGTACACATTGCGGTGCTTTTGGCCCCTTCCACAGGAGACAGAACACTGTAAATGTAAAGTAACAACAGATCAGCTTTCACGCAGGGCCATCTACATGGTTATACACGGGCCACAGCTACCCAGGGCATTTTCTTTAACTGGACCAAAAAGCACAACCCCAGGTCCCCAGCAGCCTATGCAAAGCTCGAGGGGGATACAGAAGGGCAGAATTTAACCTCTGGAAATGCTCCTTTTTGCACTTAATATTGCATGATATTCTTGGTCAAAGCCCCCCAAAATGCCAACGTCAAAACAGAGAAAGCAGCTGACATTCAGCAGGGATAACAGGCTGGATTCCTGGCATTGCTCCAGTGGTTTCAAAGGAGCAGAGTCATCTTACAGGGATCAAGGCAGGAGCCCTCAGTGTCTACTTAGAAGAAGTTGAAAGGAACCATTTCCATTTACCTTGGTACAGGGGGAGGTCAAAAGTTGGTAAATTGGGAGAGTAAAGTGTGATATACACCTTCACAGAGGGAAATAACTGCACAATGGACAAGGCAGAAGAGAAAAACGCACTTTCCATGTCCTTGGTATTAAAGCTCATGTTTGTTTTACCAGTGTAGACTGATTTACTTTTTTTTTTTTTTTTTTTTTTTTTAACCAAACAGACTGAAACCAGGACATGCTCATCCTTAAGATTTATGCATTCTGAAAACAACTCAGAAGGTGGCAAGAAGGCAGAGCCTGAAGAATCAAAGCAAAAAGCAAATCAGCAGGTATGGTAGCTGTAAGCTTTGCAGTGAAGCAACTAATTTCAGCCTCCCTCTGCAGGTTCACTGAACTTTTTCAAATGTGACCACTTCTGGCATGCAAACCCCAAGCAACTTCACTTTGATTTCAGATTAGTCTCCTCCAAAAGATTTAGGAATCAAAGGGGTCTGGAATCACGACAAGAATGTAATATGACAGTTTCATGTAGAACAAGCCTCTTACTCAGCATGATGCACCCAGAGACTCAACTTCAATTTCTTCATTACATGTTATGCAAGTCACTACATGCTATGTCACAAGCATCCTGGTTTAATCCTTGAGCACAAACACACTGGTTCAACCATCGCCCAGGATAAAATGTTCTACTAGCTTTTCAGAATGCAGCAAACATGCAGAGATGAGGCTTCTTCCTCAGTTTTGGAGCCACTCCATCAGTATATTTCCTAAGAAATAAATTACAGCCCAAGCTCTTCCCAGTCAATGAATGTATTTGAAACCTAAAACCCTACAATTTATGTATGTAGCAGCTCTGCAAGATCCATAAGAACAGAATTGGCATACGCATTGACAGCTGTGATTATTTTAAATTACAGCACTACTTCCAACTCATTCAGCCCTTACTGTGTTGTTAGGAGGTACACAAAGAACCAGAGAGACAGCAGTAACTTGCTCTGAAAGGGAAAAGTTCAAACCCACCTGGAGAGAAATGGATGTAATTCATAAGATCAGACATTGCTGCATAAGCAACGTTCTGAAAAAGGCTGTTTTCCTGCTGCAAGACCATTACAGATTGAGAAAAAGTAGCTGATGTCCCTTGCGATCAACAGGGTTTAAGGGCCAATAATGATGCTCCTCCATGAGAGGCAGGGAAGCCGGACGAGCCTGCAGCAGGGATGGCTGCCTCTGTTTTCCTGAGCCCAGTTCCAATTTCAAGACAGGCCAAAAAACCCAACAAGCAATGTTCAACCCTGCACTGAGAAAGAGAGGAAATACTGTCCCTTGTTCTAAAATAAGACTTTCATGAGTTACTCAGATTTATAAACCTCACTGTTCTTCTTCAGTATCAACAGAGGAAAGATTGAGTTAGTGTTATCCTACTTTTATAAGCCTTCAAATTTCATCAGAAGTTCATTTTTTCATTCTCTCTACATCTCTCCCCAGGCAATGAACGTCAGCAACAAGAAGGAAATGCCAAATCCTACCAAGCCCAGTTGTAAACTTCTAATACTTTCATCCATTTACTATCTTTGGACTAAACACCAGCACTAATACTTCAGCAAAAATTCAAGTGCTCCTCAGTAAGTGCTCTCCACGCAGGTTGATGACACTTTACTGTGACAGCCAAAGCTAGAGAGTAAGTTCACAGACTTGATCAGAACTCTGGCCCCACATCCTGAGCTGGTACAGCCTAGTGCACCTTTTCTTTAATTCAAAAAAATACACTGGATCCACTACTTATTCTAAAGGAAGAATAACCACATTGTGCAACAATGTAAGCGTGTTTCTGGGGACATGAAGTTGATTGACGAATATTTGATCTCGCAAATAATGTGGTGTTAGTCATTTCCAAAATTATTACCCCCCCTTCTACAAATTGCTTTAACTTTGGCTTGGAGCCTGATTCTGACATTTATCTCGCCATCCCATGATCAAACAACAGGACTGCATGCATACCTTGGTGCACTCAGAGGCTGATGTGTAATTTGCCTAATTTTGTTAATACTTAAATGTAATTCCCAAGATGCTGGAATTAATCATTTCTATGTCTGTAACATAAATCAAAGTTAGCCAGCTGTGCATTTTTAGATCTAAACCACCCATTTCCTTTCATGCACATGTGAGTTATGATCTCATTTGCAGTGACAGAAAAGAGAGGTTGAATAATCTAATGTAACTAAGTATCAGAGACTGAAAATTCCTTTGCAAAGAGTCTACTTTATAAGTGCCTTCTAATCCATCTCGGGTACTTCCAAGTTTTATTTGGCCCATAGATTTTAAGCATATGTGAGCCACACGCAGAAAACAATTTAATAGTGGGCTTCATCTCAACACCATGTGACTTAGGGAAGCAATACACCTAGCTACTGCCACCTGCCTCATCGTTTATTTCAGACCCCGGAGAAACTTTGCATTTCATTAGCAGGACTCCTCATCGCTGCAAACGCTGCTGCCCGCTTACGGTATCTACCAATAATAGTGCCATAGTGAGGTAAGCTTTGACCTTGCCTTCTATAAAACATTTGAATAGCACAGACAAAACCACTCCTTTCATATTTCTCTTTCTTTTTCTTGATTGCTTTCCTGTCCCCCACCCCCTGTAGAAAATAATTCCAAGTACTGGGGATGGACAGGTGGCTCTCTGTGGAATAGCAGCCTCATCCAAAGCTCTTTGCAGCCATCAGAAAGACTTCTGCTGGTTTTAATCACCTTTGGATCCAGCCTCGAAGGCGTAGCCAAGGTACTGTATCGACTTTTTTCATTAACCAGCTTCCTAGAGTCGAGGATCACGTGCACTTGGGCGTGTTCATGGTCAACCCGCCTCTGCCTTCACTCAAGTGCGGGAAAACATTGCTCTGAGATGCTGTTTCCAGCCTGTGATTGAGGCACAGCAGCAAATAGCATCCCTGGGTGAACCCGGGAGGATAGCCAGGCATGGAGGATTGTGCGAAAAAAAGACATTGTGTTGTTTCTTAAAAGAAACCAAGATGATTGTGGCACATAAAGTAATAGAAAAACAGTATTTCAAAAAATCAGCTATAGCCATTGCACTAAAGACTCTAGTAAACCTTCCTGTTGTTGTACCTTTATTATCTCCTAAAACCACCACAGTCACACCTGGTGCTTTACATGGAAAATAAGAACCAATGGACTTTCCTAAGAGCCTTAGGATCAAAGTATTTGAGCGCAGTTTTAAGGGTTTTATGTTTATTGCACGACTAGGTTTGTTAACATGCCAAGTACCAGGGATTGGCATGCTGCTGATTTTTTCAAATAAATATACTGCCTAGCTTAAATAAATGCAAGAAAAAAGTTTAAATAAATATGACAAAAATATTTCCATATCAACTGTTTCCAGAAAGGTCAGAACACAATGCTAAATCTCTCCTGCAATGTATTACTCTGCTCCAGCACAGCGGCAAGCTTGTGTTTTTGTTTCCATAAAAATTTGTTCTCTGTTTCAGAGTTCAGGAATGACGAAGATCATTCTGTTCTACCAAGTACGTGCAAATTGCTTTAAACTAACCCTTGCTGCATTTCATACTCTGATATTTTGGAAGATGAGGATACATCTTGTTCATTAAGACCTCTCTAAAATAGAAAGGCTGCTACTTGATCCACTGGGCCGGTAGCAGGAAAAACCCAGAATATGTACCCCAAATGCTCTTAAAAATTTATATAAAATTTGTGATTGGTTGGGCCCAGGTTCTGACCCTCCTGAGGGAGACTGTGACCTGCTCTTCTGCACTGCAGGCTGAGGGCTGGCAGTGAGGTCGGTCTGACACCAAAAGGATTCTACAGCCCTGGGCACAAATAAGCAAATCTTGGTGAACGGAAAGAGGCAGCACAGAGCAGTCAAGAAGAAAGGGAGTAGCTCTGCTTCTCATTAACACTGTACATTGAAGGGGCAGCTCAACACTGGGCAGAAAAGCAAACCACCAGCAACAACCTGAGGACATTCTCCTCCAAAAGTGAAAAGTTTCAGAAAATGCTGTCAGACCACTTTTCCAGGCGCATCAGCCTGACGATTTGGGAGGTATTTGAGATAATGAATGCAAGCTGCGGTGATCACCAAATGAATTCCCAAAGATAGGTATGCTCCGATAGCTCACCAAGGGCAGGGCTGGGAAGAATTAGACTAAAAACGGGCTTTATCAGATTCTGCCAGGAGCAACTTTTTGGAGGAAATTAAAATCAATCCTTGTAGGTTTAGATTTGCACACATTAAGGATTGCACGGAAAGTAAGCGCTCGTAAGTAAGCCCTCGTTCATCCTTTCCAACAATCTGAGCTGAAACATGTGCGGGATGAAATAAAGCAGAAAAACCACAGAGCCCCACAATGCTTTACACCCCCTTTCTGTGAGAGGCTGTGCTCCTGGATGTCAGCAAATTTCTCCAACTATGAGCAGAGCCCAACCACGCACCCTCATAGTGACTTTTCAGCATCCTCTTAATCTACATCTATAACTTACACTGCTGCTACCAGATGCTGAAACAACAGTCCTGTGACTTCTGTACCTCTGAAGTCTCTCGAGCACAAAGGACATCAGAAGACAAACCACCAAGAAAAGCCTGG